AAAGAAAGAAAGAAAGAAAGAAAGAAAGAAAGAAAGAAAGAAAGAGGCAGGCAGGCAGGCAAGAAAAAAAAAAGGAAGTGGAAGGGAGGGAGACAGGAAGGCATGATAGCAGTCTTCCAATGTTTGAGGGGCTGCCCCAAAGAAGAGGCAGTCAAGCTATTCTCCAAATGCACCTGAAGGCAGGACAAGAAGCAACGGGTGGAAACTATAAGGAGAAATTTCCAGAGAAATTGAGAATAATTAACCCGTGGAACTGCTTGCCACCAGAAATTGTGGGTGCTCCATCACTGGAGGTTTTTAAGAAGAGACTGGACAGCTAGTTGTCTGAAATGGTCTAGGGTCTTCTGCTGGAGCAGGGGGTTGGACTAGAAGACCTCCAGGGTGCCTGCCAACTCTTGTTCTATTTAATCAATCAGAATAGAGCCGGAAGGGACCTTGTGGGTCATTTAGTCCAACCCCCCCTCCCCCGTTCCAGTAGGAGATCCTAGACCCGTGTTGGCGAACCTATGGCACGCGTGCCGGAAGAAGTGGCACACAGAGGCACTTCTGCCGGCAGACGAGAGCTCGCCCATAAGAGCCTCATTGCACATGTGCATACGCCACCGCCCAACAGCTGATTGTCAGGTATTTGGTGCGCATACATGGGGGGGCACGGGAGACACATCATGCACAGACGTGTAGCACACATGGGGTCATGCCCGCATGCGCAGAGATGCGCGGCACCTGGGGCGGATCGTGCGTGCATGCATAGATGCATGGCGCATGGGGGAAGTGTATGCGCAGATACATGGCGCGCGGCAGGGGGAAATAGCGTGCACACGTGCAGATGCATGGCGTGCAGTGGGGGAATCGCATGCGCATGCAGAGGTGCGCGGTGCACATCGAGAATCAGTGCGTGCATGCGCAGGGGAGTGGGAGGGTGTCTCAGCATGCATTGCCTTCTGGGTGCTGGCATGCAAGCGCGAGCACACGTGCAATTATCAGCACGGGAGCTGAAAAAGGTTGGCCACCACTGTCCTAGACCATTTCTGACAGAGGGCAGTCCAGTCTCCAGGAATGAAGCTCCCACAGCTTCTGGAGGCAACTTCTGTTCCATTGAACATGGAATAACAGAGTTGGAAGGGACCTTGGAGGTCATCTAGTCCAACCCCCCCCCCCAAGCAGGAGACCCTACACCATTTCTGACAGATGGCAGTCCGGTCTCTTCTTGAAAGCTTCCAGGGATGAAGCTACCACAGCTTCTGAAGGCAACTTGTTCCATTGAACATGGAATAACACAGTTGGAAGGGACCTTGGAGGTCATCTAGTCCAACCCCCACCCCACCCAAGCAGGAGACCCTACACCATTTCTGACAGATGGCGCCCCAGTGTTTTCTTGAAAGCCTCCAGGGATGAAGCTCCCACAGCTTCTGAAGGCAACTTCTGTTCCATTGAACATGGAATAACAGAGTTGGAAGGGAACTTGTAGGTCATCTAGTCCAACCCACCGCCTAAGCAGGAGACTCTACACCATTTTTAACAAATGGCAGTCCAGTCTCTTGAAAGCCTCCAGGGATGAAGCACCCACAACTTCTGAAGGCAACTTCTCTTCCATGGGTTGATTGTTCTCAACTGTCAGGAAATTTCTCCTTAATTTTAGGTTGCTTCTCTCCTTGATTAGTTTCCATCCATTATTTCTTGTCTGGCCTTCGGATACTTTTGAGAATAGTTTTGACTCCCTCTTCTTTGGGGCAGCCCCTCAAATACTGGAAGATTGCTGTCATGTCCCCCTTAGTCCTTCTTTTCTCTAAACTAGCCAAACCCAAATCCTGCAACCGTTCTTCTTCGTATATTTTACTCTCCAGCCCTTTAATCCTGGTTAAGTTGCTCTTCTTTGCAGTTTTTCCAAAGTCTCAACATCTTTCTTGTAATGTGCTTGATTAAAACTGGACGACGACGGATTCCAGGTGATTCCATCACTCTCTCCTTGTGACAACACAGCCTCATTGGTGCCTGTGGTCATTTGAGCGATGCCATTACTGGCCCTGTTATACTGGGACCTCATTGGCACGACAGCAAAACGGCACACACGACCTCTTTCACGATGCTTAAATTCAAAGGAGCGAAGGGATTGAGGAAGCGATCTTAATAAATGCAAGTGTAATGATGTGTGCCTCTTGAGAAACAGATAAAGAGTTACTCTTAACTTCTCTCCTGGATTGGGGGGTTTCCATCCATTGTTTTTTTATCTTGCCTTCTGGTGTTTTGGAAAATAAAAGTGGAACCCTTCTTCTTTGTGGCAGTTTCAACGTTTCAGGGGCTGCCCCAAAGGGGGTCCAACTTATTCTCCAAAGCAGTGGTCACGTGCTGAATGGTCTGCGAGAAAATTTTGGTGGTCTGCAGAGAAATGTTCCCCCCAAAGCAATTAATCCAGGCTGCGCGGGAACACAAGGCTGCGCCGCCCACATGGCCCGCGGGAACACAAGGCTTGCGTCGCTTGCATTGCGAACAACATGAGGGAGTGAGGGGAGGGGGGGAAGGGCGGAGGGGGGGAACTTGCCCCACTTGCCCCAGGCCTAGCCAACCAGGCTGCTTCTTTCTTCTTCTGCTTTTGGCTGCATGCAAGGAAAGCAGCAGAAGTCTTTCTTTCTCTCCCACAAACTCCACCAGAAATGAGTCTTTGGGACCCTGCAAGGCCTCCTGCTCCAAGAGGCTGCGCCGGCAAAGACTCATTTCTGGCGGAGTTTGGGGGAGAGAAAGAAAGACTTCTGCTGCTCCTGCTGCTTTCCTTGCATGGAGCCAAAAGTCTCTCTCTCTCTCTTCCCCTGAGAACGGAGCTGGAGACAGTATCCTACGATCCCAAATAAAGAACGATCGATCGGTAGGAAAACAGGGTGGGGGATTTTCCTGCTGACATTTTTTGGGATTTTCCCAGTCTCTGGTTCGCGGGATTTAAAATGATGAGCTTGGTGGTCCCTGAGGTCCAAAAGGTTGGCGACCCCTGGACTAGATGACCTCCAAGGTCCCTTCCGAGTCTATAATACCATTACTGACAGGACTAGTCCCTTCTGGGCCTCTTTTTCTGCCATTGTACAACTGAGGGCTCAGCTCTTATCTGACTGTTCTCTAGGCAGCGTCTCTTCCCACCGTCCCCCAAGGTCTTTCCAACATACCATTAGAATCAGTGGTGGGATTCAACCTGTTTGCACCACTTCGGCTGAACCGGTGGTTAAACTGCTGGTTCTCCCCTCCCGTCCCCTTTCAGGAGTCCCCCCATGCCCGTTTTTGCTCCCAGGAGGCTTCAGAGAGGCCTACTAGGCCCAAAACAGGGTGTGTGGGTGGGGGGGGGGTGCAATGTGCCCACCCCCTCATGGCTCGTTTTGCTCCCAGAAGGCTGCAAAGAGGCCTACTAGGCCCAAAACAAAGTGCGAGGGGGAAGGTGTGGCATGCCCCCCCTCTTGGCTGATTTTTGCCCCCAGGCTGCAGGGAGATTCACAAGGCCCAAAACAGGGCGCCAGGGAGGCGTGGCTCCCTTGTGGCCCGTTTTTACTCCTAGGAGTCTGCAGAGAGGCCTACTAGGCCCAAAATGCGGTGTGGTGGGGGAAGGGTGCAGTGTGCCCCCTCCACGGCCTGTTTTTGCTGCCAGGCGGCTTCAGGGAGACCCATAGGCCCAAAATGTGTGTGCAATGCACCATCCCCCCCGCCCGCCGTGGCCTGGTTTTGCTCCCAGGAGGCTGCAGGGAGGTTCACTAAGCCCAAAACGGGATGCAAAAGGGGGGGGGAAGGGTACAGTGTGCCCCCTCCACGGCCCATTTTTGCTCCCAGGCTTCAGGGAGACCCACTAGGCTCAAAGTGTGTGCGTCTTATTCACCCCCTCCCCGGTGGCCCGGTTTTGCTCCCAGGAGGCTGCAGGGAAGCCTACTAGGCCCAAAAACAGGGTGCGGGGTGTGTGCGAGGGTGCGATGTGCCCTCACCCCCACAGCCTGCTTTTGCTCCCAGGAGGCTTCAGGGAGGCCTATTAGGCCCAAAACGTGTGTGTGCACGTGTGTGTGCACACCCATGCGACACAGTCCTCCTCATGGCCCATTTTTGCTCCCAGGAGGCTTCAGGGAG